AATTATTGTGAATATGAAATCATTGCTACAGACTAGGTTAGCTGATCTGTCTGCAGTGAGATGCTAAATCACATTACTGAGCGATTGATTTGTATGTCTAGTTTTATTGTTCATTTAATTAAAAATGCAACTGTTAATCGATATCTATAATTTGTCATGTTTCATAACATAATTTTATCTATATTCTTGCTTCTTAATTTTGACGGTAAAATTAAATTTTACATTTTTAACTGAATTTGTTATATGAATACATACACAATGAAGTGGGTAAGCTTGCAAAATTAAAAGAGTAGGGTTCTTTCAAAGGTTACATTTATAAAAAAAAGTATTCATAAAAAGATATTCCAATAAAACAAGATTTTATAAATTCTTTGCCCGGTGGGACTTAGACACATGTGGTTTCCTTATTTCTTCTAATATAAGTGTTATCTTTTATCATTTTGGTTCGACGCCGTGGTGGTATTATGTAGTCTTACTCACTGGTGTATTTATTTGGGCCGTACCATATGCCAGAGCTTTATAAGACACGTGTTGTTTTTGCACGTGAGTGATTTTTTTTTAAACTGGTTCTCAAAATTGACTGGTTTTGCAGTCAAACTATCTTTGATGCTTCGACTCTGAGTTTAATACCTGTTATCATTCAATTTGATGTAATTCTAAGATCTCGTACCCGTTCGTTACTGTTAAATGACAAAATACTTGCTCCTTCGTTAATTTGGAACTTCTCCTACTCATTGTTAATGTATAAATTTTGTCTAAAAATGGCTACCACACCGGATTATTTAAAAATTGTAAAATACTCCAAAAACCACCAGGAGAATGTCATTCCAACGTTCAGATTAAATTTGATCAAAGTTAATTATCGTATCAAAAATTTTGAATATAACGCACTAATAAGCGGCAATATAATGTCGATTCGTTTCGTTGAACCGATAGTCACCGAAACGAACGTAATGAATCTCTACGTAATGTAAAAGACGGCCTTGCTCAATATCTTATTTCGCAAAATTGTAACACGAATGAAACGATTATGTAACATGGAATACCTACACAACGATTTGTAAATTGTGTGCTGTGTTAGTTCCGAGATTTGCTCTAGGAACTCGACGTCTGGATTGCGAGTGGCCTTCACTGTTGCTACTCTGATCAGTTTGTCGCATATTCATAATATTGATACACAACGCTGTGCAAAAATAGTATAGTAATGAGTCTGTGTTACATATTATGCGTACGATATTTTTTGCCAAGTTTTTATCATCTCGTCTAGGGCATTGTATTGTAATTGTGTACATTCTCTGGGATCATTTCATTTGGTGCTCAAACCGACAGGTAACCGATGAATCATTCCCAAACTACTAACACAAGAATATTGGGCGTGGTGTTATTTATATTTATTAAACTTATAGATATGAAATCTTGCTTATGTTTTTTTAGAACACATAATTTATTTGTTTCGTTCAATTTGACTTTGCTGAATTTCCCTTGGCCTTTGCTAGCACTTAAGTTAATTGAATTCTGAAAACTTGTTTAGCTGAAATATAGTGTCATCACATTGATAAAACCTTACTAGAAATAAAATGCAGTGCGATGATGCGCGAGCTATGATACTGTTAAATTGCATCAAGTTTTTTTACAAGTATATTATGTGACATTTCTTCAATAGTAAAAAGGTCATTATACTGTATTATTTGTCTAATATAATATTTCATTGAGTGCTAGGGCGAATTCTAGACATTTCCATCTATTTATACGATACTCTCTTTCCGTTGGGCGTAGCGTCATTATGAAGTGAGTGGTAATTTGATGCGCGTGTTCTTTAAAGGATATTGGAGACCTCGCGAATTATCCATTCGCTACTTGACTGTGAGTTGTTGTTATCATAACGTTTGGTTTAAGTCTTATGGCTAAAGTTTCCAAGTATCAGTTAGCTATTTCTATAACCGTTGCCTGACCTTTCGCGTAGGTCGCCTTCTTTGCGTAGTTATAATCGCAACCCTCGCTGTGTAGGCGCGTGACAGATATACCACCCACAAGATGACATTTTCAGGGTGAATGCAAAATAAGTTACATTAATCTCCACCTATTTATTGCTAAATATTGTTAAATAAAATTATTTTACTTTGTCATTTTCGTAAGTCATCGTCATTATTTACCATAGGCAGCAAGCTAACTTGCCTTCTTTTGCACCAAATGCTTTAGCATCCATGGTTTAACCCACAGATTTCCCGTATATAAGGAAATGGTTGATATCAGTGTTAACTATTCGTGCTTCTGTTGGTACACCATGTCTATAACAACGCAATACATTCTTTTTTATTTTCGCGTCTAATAGTCAATCTAATAGTTTCTTAAGCAATCGAAAAACTCCAGGTACAAACTCGTTAGATTTCTCCATGATACGAAACCTAGATAATAAAATATACTAGTTGATCACATTTCAACTCGGAGCTTTATCTAAAAATACCTTTAAAAACCGGGCGCATAACATAAGCATACTAGACATGGAACATTGAGAACACTAGACATCGTTAGCCTGAACGCTCTTTATGAACTTTTACTTTTATTGGGTTTTTGTTTTTTGCCCTCAACCATTTTTTATAAACGTCGGCCAGCGCGTTCAATTTACAAACACGTGTTATTTTAGATTCTTTCAATGCGTTTATAGTACAAGGTAATGGACCGATTATTACTTTATGATATTGATTTCATTATTTTGATTAAGAAAACTAGGAACGAAGTCGTTAAATCCTGTGCATGATTTAATTCACAAATAATAAAAGAGAATGCCTAATCGAAGTTTGTTCGGCGAATGTTATCGAAATGATTAATAAATTGTATACGCGAGTATGACGTGGTAAAGCCTGTCTGGCCCAGTTATTGATGACCTTCACTGCTCTACGCATGTCAAACACCTAGTCGACGATCATGTTGGACTTGGATTAGCAAATACAGAGTTACTTATTAACGTATTTCTTTCCTCCAGATATTAGAGTTTTCGACATTTATCACTCGTCATTTATATTTCTTACTTTTAAATAAAATTGTATATTAATGCCCATTTGATTACTGATTAAACTCATTAAAACACAACTCATAGATTTTACTGAAATCTTAAAAGGTAGGTACCGGTGGGACGTAACAAGGTATCGATTAGGCAAGAGTATTGATTGTGTAGACATTGTGCATCTATAATATTGCATTATGCCAGCGACGAGCCATATTTAGGCGTCAAGATCGACGCGGAGCTATTCCATCTGTCTGTTTTTACAATAATGAGTTTTATGACATACGAGCATTGCGTATGGTTCTGTGTCCGCCATTTGTGTTGTTGAACACTTGAACATTGTTAGGAAAAAGCCGTTATCAAAATGGCGGCACGGTCTGACGCTCGGCCATGCTGTGTGGGGTCGTTGACGCGCATAGCGGGACGGAGGTGGGGTAGGGAAGGGGACGGACACGGCGGGCGTAAATCGATTTGTTGTGACGAAAACTTTGACCGACATCTAGCGGCGCTTGTGAGAACTAATGTTTACTATAACGAACGAGAGATGTCTCGTAGATAACATGCTGATATTTTGTTACTTTTCCTAAAATGATCGAAACTATGATTATTAACTAATTATTTACCGTATTTTATTTTATTTTTAATATTATTTACTACTGTATATGTACAGTAAAAATACAATTGAAGCTCGTTGGTTATTACCTTAACTGAAACACATTCTTTAAAAATTGTTAACATTAAAAACTCCATTGCACAAAGTATTAAGAAAAAGTTTTGATTGTGTAAAAATGTCTTGTTTATTTAATTCTATAAATAAGTAAGATAACAGAAGTAAAATTATTATATTACATTTTATAAGTGTAATTTATTATACTAGAAGCCACAGGTTCTGTTGCATAGGATTTTATGCATGATTGTTAGTAATTTTTTTCCTAATTTTTTTTTAATGTAGAAGCCGTTTTTCTAGCAGCTACAGTTTCCGAAATATTGAATAATAAAGCTTTCTAGTATTTTCTTTTTCATCAAATAATTTTATTATTTTCAATTACAGTGATTTGAAACTCTTATTTTGCAGTGGTTAAATATGCAATCGGCAAAGAACTTAATTTATTACCGTAATATAAGAGCACACATTACAGACTTCGTTTTGACGAGTCAATAAGCAAATGCCACTCGTTTGGGTCGTAGCTTTTTTGCCCCATTACAGTCACAAGACCTAGAATATTGTTGCAAAAGACGAAATTATCTTCTTCAGTGGAGAATGAAAGTAAATTCTTTTCTCTGGAGCGGTACGTGATATTCTTTCGTTACCAAACTTCTTTCCTTTAATCGTGAAGTCAGTAGTTGTGCTGCTAATTTTGATAGTCTAAGGTCTTAAACTAAGTCATCTTATTCATGTTCGATAAAATCGCTTGATAAAATCAGAATCCTTGCCATCATCATGAACACTACCGCTCGATGCATTCTGCTGAATTAAATCCTCTGAATGATTCCGGGATGTACTGAGTTCAGGTTCTAGCACTAAGTACTGCTCGCACAGCAGTCAGTAGGTTGGGATAAGCTACGGATAGAATCGAAATAAGTGGAATAGGGATAATGGGCCAGGCGTGCGTATTGTATTGGTGGGTGTTAACGACTACAGATCTGCTTAGCGAGCCTTCCGATGCACGGAGGAGCTCAAGAAACTAAATTTTTGGTCGCCCATTCCATGACACGCCATTGCGAAAGTAGCTCAACACTGACATCGAGCTCCTTATTTTAAATACCTGGACTATATTTTATTTTGCACTACACGAATAAACATGTTCTTGATTGTTATTTGTACATTGTTTTGAAGATTTTGCCATCTAGTGCTTAGTAAAGCACAATGTGTGTCTCTCATTTTAATTAATTCATATCTATTGTTATCTAAAAATGGTATCTTAATCAAAGACCAATTTAATTAGTTACGCTTGTGGATGTACTTATTTAAGGAGGTTTTATCATTTGTCAACAGTGTAAAGACTTCGAGAAGGCGGGTGCAACTATAGCCGTGACTCCCTGCGATGTCGTGGAAGAAGCGGACATCACGTTTTCATGTGTGGCCGACCCACAGGCTGCTAAAGAGGTAATTACTATCTACTATTATATACTATACTATAATAGTATACTACTATACTATTTTTAAAGAGGCAAAGCTTCTCTAACTTACTTTATTTTTGGGGGTAATATTCGGAAATACTGTATTAATAATGATCTGATTGTGAAAATTCCTGGCCGTTTTATAAGCCATAATAAAACTTGTCCAAAATTTCGTAATCCCCTCTTATTAAAATTCAACCGTGCGATGTATTGGAAAGTAACCAAATATGAAATGGTATCCCGAATATGGAGTAATGAAAGTAATAAGAATTAAAGAAATAAACAAAGCTGATTTGCAAGAAGGAAATTTACAAGTATTCCTTTTTCTCTTGTTTAATTCAGTCCTTTCAAAATCACTGCTTTATAGACATAGCTCGCTGGCAAAAGGTTAACACACTGTAATATTATGAAACTTGCCCTGTTGACCTTTTACATTGACCTTAACGTCAGTATCAATATCCCAACCATAATTTATGTATATCACACCTTTTTATAATTATAACATCCGCATAATCGATACGTTATTTACACGGTTAAATAGATTAATTGAGCAAGAGTCCAATACAAGTGCAAAAGTTTACTTTAATTGATAGAGTAATAAATATGTAAATGCAGTAGTAGTTTATTAAGGTAATCTACAACAATCAAGATTATAGAGATTATGATTTCGAAAAATGTGTTTGTTTTTACATTGTATTGTACTTGAGTTGAGAATCAGTATTTGGTATTAGTATCTTAATGGGCAATGAAATACCACAGCAATTTATTGCATACAACAACCAAGGACTTGTCTTGGTTCCCCCTGTGTGGATGTGGCTGTTGAGATTTTGGATCGTTCGATCACCGATTTAGGATTCATCGCTCGATATGGATGCCGCTAATTCGACAGCGAACAGGACAACAATATTATTATATTATTATTATTATATAATGTCACCCCCTCCTAACGTTATTTTAGGTTGACTTCTAATTACGCTAGCGTTAGTTGCAAATTTTTGAAAAAAAAGATGAATAATCTACTACTCTTTTTAGATGGTGTTCGGCAACTGCGGGGTGCTACACTGTCCTTCGCTAGAGTCCAAGGGCTACGTGGAAATGACGTCTATAGACGCGGATACCTCGCATGATATAGTCGAGGCGATCAGCGGCAAGGGCGGCCGCTATTTGGAAGCTCAGGTAAGAAATATTTTATTTGTCGAGTACAACAGAAGAATGTTACCAGTCTTTCGTCTTTTGATCTGCAGGCCTAAAGTATAGCTACATTGTGATCGATTTAGTTGGCATCGGAATCAATCAAAATGCACTCTTACGTTCAATACTCTATTGAATGTTTTGTGAATTTGATTTAACCCTATGTATTGATACGGAACCAATATAGAACTTAGAGTGCATTTTAATTCCTCTTTTTCATTGTGGCACGACAAAGTGACTGCAATACACCTGATGGAAAGATTACATTCCAATAATACTAATAGCTTCTGACAACTTTTAGTATTATTGGACTGTAATCTTCCTGTAAGTTGCAGAACTGTAGATTGTAAAGTTGAAAATACTCCCGGTATTGTCTTGCCGTCCTGTTAAAAAACTTCTTCATAATTTTTTTGCAGGATCCAAGATTATACGGTTCTAAATTTTCATTTATTCTAATGTCAAAAAAATGACGATGTAAGTCTGAAAACGCGGTAGGCCTACTGGTCCTCATCATAAATTGCAAGCTGACAAATCGTGCATTTGTGACGTACTTGTGTACAGTAATAATGAAATAATAGTCTCAAATTGCACTTTTCGTTCCAGATACAAGGCTCTAAAACCCAAGCCGAGGAGGGCACCCTCATAATATTGGCCGCCGGTGATCGTACACTGTTCGACGACTGTCAGTCATGCTTCAAAGCGATGAGCAAGAACTCCTTTTACCTTGGTAGTAGTCAGCTTCTCCAGTTGGTGACGTGACGAAACTTGTCATATGACACTACATTAGCATATGCGATAGATTGTTGAGACTTGACATGTACGACAGCAGCACAACAGTTTACTACAAAGGCCTTTCTGCAAACGATTTTGAACTCTAACACCGTAATTTTCGACATACTTTGTCCTACTTTACATCATTTGAAGTTTCTTAAGTTAGAACGAGATAAACGATTGTGATTTTAAGAGTACAGATTAAGGTCTAAATAGAAATTTATATTTTGTAGTAATCTTTGGTGCTGTCGAATGTACGTTTATAACGTTCGCATGCTGGTTCTGCATGCATTTATTAGTTTGTGCTTGCATTTTTAGAGTATTGTTTCGCGAAGACAATTTTTTTTTTTTTTTTTTTAATACTTATATCTATTATTTAAGTGTCATTTGTCAAATCCGAGCGTCATTTAATTATAAGAATAATGATAGCTCAAACCTCATCGACTGCGCTGAAAGTGGCGGAACAAACGAATTCTAGAAATATTTGTATCAATATTTATATGAACCATCACAAACATGTACGCGGTTAATCGTCAGAATGTTAATGTCATCTGTCATAATATTTGCGAGGTTCAAAGGAAATCCGTTTCGTCCACCTCCTTCGCTTCGGTCGTATAGATCAGCTATTAGTCTTTTATTTTATTAAAATCATTTATTTTTATTTATTTAGAATTACATGCGCAAGTGAAGTTCACGAGTAACTTTAATTTTTTTGTGTGTTCTTTAAACTGAAGCTTTTATGTTGATATATTTAGCATGTGTATAGTTATTTATATATTTTAATGCTTATCCAATAGTAATTTTAATAATTAATTTTATTAATGAGTTGCAACTTCATTCTCAAGGTATTTTTAGCATTTCCTTGTATTACGGCTTTCTTATGAATGGTCGTCAGCACGCCAGAGTATCAGAAACCCAGCTTTCTTCGATTCATTATAAGCCTTAATGTAATTAAAGTTAAGACCATAACAGTTTGCCACAGGAGCCGATCTAGATATATAACATTATTCACTGCCTAGTATATTGATACCTGTCACATAATATATAGTATTTTAGAACAAACAGTTTGGTCCAAACTAAAACACAGTTTCTGATTATCGCCTCATACCAATTTTGTCGTGATAAATTAAACCTAAAATCAGTACACACAAAGGTCAACGTACGAAATTATCTGTTTGACGACCGTGATATAGTCATGATCTTGCTGTCCCAAAGATGTGTGTTGATATAATTTTCTTTGGGCTTCTAGACAAATATACACAAATAGTATTTCTGTTTGTGTGTAGTGAATTCGAATTGATATACTTTTCAAATATAACTGTAATACCCTATTATGCTTATGTTAACTACATCCCTTTATGACACAGTTTATTGTTATTAGACCACAAAATAATGAATATATCTGTCATCATTGATATGTGAGCAAGACCCTAATAATATTGAACTTCAGGTAGAAAGTACAATGACAAAATGGAAGTAGTTGATATTGAGATGGAAATATCACGTAAAAATTTACTCTATGTTAATTTATACTCTATGTACATTTTCGTTACAGCATAAATCTAAGATACCGTAGAGCGTTATCCACCTCTGTTTATTTCGCCAGGTGACATAGGCAACGCGTCCAAAATGAACTCTGTCCTGCAAGTGGTCAGTGGAGTATCGCTGGCCGCTCTAGCGGAGGGTCTAGCGCTAGCGGACCGCGCGGGGTTGAGTCAAGCGGACCTGTTGGACGTGCTCGCGTTGACACCGCTGGCATCGCCACATCTCATACTCAAAGGACGCGGTGAGTATTTAATTATCACTCGTACGAATTCGGCCATTGATGCACCGGATCTCTTCGCATCAGTGAGTATTAATATGATACACAGATCGCGACATTCTAACATATTTACAATGCGGGTATACGAATATAAATACGTCGTTTTACTGCACTCTAGCGCACATTTAATGAGATTTTCCGTAAGAGCAAAGACATTCCAATATCATTGATAATAAATTTTCCAGATTATAAGAAAATTAAAAAATGGCTTTCTTAAATTCAGTTGTAAACTGTCGAGCTGTATTATCAAATACTTATGATACCGGGTATTAGTATTAACGTCGGCGCAGGTCAGTGTAAAATCGAGTCTAATTTTTGACTTTCATAAAGACCAGCCCTGCGATTCTGTGAAAATTCGACTGCAGACCCGAATTCGAAATCCCTCATGTCCAACAAAATCTATGATGTTGAATGATATTAATTATATATATATTATTTATATATAAAGGCCAGTTTTAGACAAATATCGGTATCGTTATAGCGATGATAGTTTTATGGGCTATCCATCAATGCCAGTTTTGCTGCGAGTAGAAGACATTTTATTTACTTTTCATAACATGTATCAATGTCTTTTTATGAAGCATGAATCTATTCGATAGAAAATCATGTTAATATCATAATATTTTACATTCACAGCTATGATCGAGTCACTATACTCCACTCACCAGCCGTTGACTCACATGCAGAAAGATTTGAAACTGGCCCTCGGACTGGGCGATGCGTTGGAGCAATCACTGCCTCTGACCGCCACCACGAACGAGATATTCAAACACGCCAAACGCCTGGGTTATGCGAATCACGACGTTGCCGCGGTGTATATAAGAGCTAGATTCTGATCGCGTTTGTACGCCGCCCTAGCCCTCTTGTCTCGTACTATTGTTCGCTGTAAGAGATATTCTAGACATAAGTCTTTGTTAAGTAACGAAGTTTTTTAATTCGTAATAATGTAACATTTTATTTGCTCTCGTAATAGAAAAGTTTCAGTTATTGTTACATAGTGATTTGTGTAAATTAATAATGTGTATAACAGTTTAAAATTACATTAACAATACGAAGTGGCGGGGATGAGACAGTGACTCGATAGTGGAATTCCTCTGGAAGATGATCAATGTACAAACTAGATTAAATTGCTGGAACTAGACTAATTTTAGGTCTAGGCCTGTCAAACTGCGTTTTCAATTGTGAATATAACTAAGATAAAGAAACTTTTTATATTTGTATACAGGGGTATAATTAACATTTGACTGTGAAATAACGTTAAGATAAAGTCAAATAGAAATGGGATAGTTAAAAAAATTGTTTAGAAGAGTGTGTCAACAGAATTGGCACCAATACTGTAATATTATTTTGACAATATTTTTGTCGATATTGTCTTTATTCAAATAAACTTATTAGAAGTACTTTTGGATAGTCCAACGTTTTTTTTTACCGACCACTCGTTCAGGACGTCTTTTGGTGAAACATTTTGTTTGTGTGTCTACAAAAAAATGTGTGTAGTGAAACTGTTTTTTGTTATATCAACGAAATCTTACAACTATCAGTACATTTCAGTTACTGGCAATAATCAGGACAATACTAGACATGTATGTTTGGATCGAGTATTAATCTCTATTCGTATCATTGTGCAATACAAATATAAGTAATTTTACATCATATCGAAACTATATAAAGAAATAAAATGTTACATTTTACATTTACAAGTTTGACGTGACAAGCAAAGGGGACAGTGGTTCATTATAACGTAGGTAGTTTAAGTGTGACGTAAATGGAAGATTATTTTTGAATCACCGGATCGTTTCTAATTATATACATAGTATCTATAAATCAGAGGTTCTATTAAAAAAATATGTAATGTAATTTTAAATACTGTCAGTTTATCATGAAATAGATGTTACGCTCATTTCAACTGCTATTTCATTTTTCTTGCTTAAATTACATGAATATGTATAAACCATAGAGGTGTTATGAATAGAGCAGGGAAAAGTTTACCCTCGATTAGAGAAAGAAGGTCGCGGCATCTTGAGTCTCTACTCGCGCATGCGTAGTTAACGCGATGCAGGCGCAGAGCGTAACATTACGAGTTTGGTATTTGTAATTGTCCAATTTATATCTCCATGCATCGGTAGAGTTCATTAAATACATTCTTCTATATAATAATCTTTATGAAAATGTTCATACAGTCTACATGTCGTAGTATTTTTATACAAATCAAATAAAAGGAGGCATAATTTAAATTCCTTTTTTATTTAGATTTTTGGTTAGAATTTTGGATTGATAACAATTGTTTCTATACAAAATTGAAAGGTAAATATCGATGGCATATTATGTAGTTGATATTGCAGATGACACAAAATGTAACTGCGAATGGTATTAATTGATGACAACAAGAGTATAAGCATCATAATACGAAACAAAACTATAGATAATACCTATAGTGCCTGGGTGCCTTTTTTTCTTTTCCTTGGTAAATCATTAGTTTTCCGAACCACAAACCGATTTTTTGTCAAATTTTTAGAAAATAATAATTTTCTGTAGATGCATTAGTGTGTAATAAAGAAGCTATACATGTGACTTATATATGTGTTTTATGCCCACTATTTATGCATAATGTGAATCAAAATCGCCACCAATAAAGTCTGTCTGCTTATTCAACTATTGCTGCGACAATATATTCGCCATCAATTTACAGTAGAAACTTGTAAACAATATAAATATCAGTCACGATATTTTCATTATTCATAACTAACGTTCAGTTGCACAAACGTCCATTAAGGTTTAATGACGTATTTAAGGTCTAATGAATGTCAAATTTGTATTGGTAATGTCGCTTTAAAATAATTATAATTTTAATGAAAGTTTGTGCAACTGACCGCAAGATAGGAGTAATCTGACACCGTCACATGACGCCATTTTGTTGCTGTCCTGTTGGCTAATATAATATAACACACTTAGTGACAACAACTTTAAAAACTATTCACCTGTTGGTGCCAGATTCAATAAAGGCGCGAGTTAAACTGAGTACTTTGTTTCCGTGCATCATATGATGCTCTGTCGTTCCAATAGGGATTAAAAGTCTAATGGCGTTTATAAGTTTTTTTATTATTTATTAGAGTGACAAGATCAGTTTTGAGGTGAAATACGAAGTTAATTACTGCGTAATGAATATAGCTAAACACTAAGACTTAAAAGAAGTAATAATTAATAATTCAATGTTTCATAGTAATAACTGGATAACAATAAAAAGCAATTTCAGTGATAATAGACCAACAAATTTTTCATAAATCGAGAAATAGCAAGACCTTATGAAAATACAATTGGAAACTGACTTAAAGTATGTGTGTACTATGTAAGCTTATCTTTCCTGATTTAACACTGGCTGGTCATCTTTTTAATATGTATTTTTTTATTAAAATTAAGAAATACTAATGTTCATTTTCCAAAGGCTAATTGATGACTGAATGAACAAATATTTTTTTTTTTATGGTAAATAATATAGGTTTGTTATGTTGTCAACATAAGCGGAATTATTATTAATTTTAACTAGAGGTCGCACTATGTGTCATGTGCATATTGAACCACACTAACAGAATAATTTTGGAAGCTAATAATAATAATAATAAATAAATAGGAAGCTAATAATAGATTAAATGACTCAATGTTAAAAATGTCTATCTACAAAATTTGTCTGATGCATGTATGTGTAATTTCGCTTATTTTCGCGTGCTATCGTCCTCTCAGACCTGGGTCCACAGATTTAATAAATCTTTGGTTGGGTCTCTACCACAGACTATAAAAACTAATGCAGAAGAAGTCTTCTTGAATAGTATTTGTTTAATATATACCCAAAAACAATCTCAAACGTGTAAGCAAGTTTAGTGTTTTTTTAGCTTAATAAAATGAATATGGTATAAGCACATTGTTTTTAATTTAGTTTTTAAGCCAGGTGTACAAACACTGCACTTTACTTTGTTTATGTCGGTATTAAGGATGGTTAAAATTAATTAAACGTTAGTAGCTACTACATAGTTTTCCAGAGTGTCTAACGTATGTTGCATTTACGTTATTTCTGAATTTTATTAGTTCAAATACATCTCTTTACAATAAGAGCTTGTATTATTAAGAGACATGTCCGATATTTACTTCAATTGGTTGATAAAAATATGGTTTTTCAATTATTATTAACAGTGTCCCCTATGTTTTCGAATCATAGAAATAAGTAAAAAAAAAAAATAGAAATAGTTCGCAAATGAATTGTGCATTGTTTTATAATTTTTATCAACTGTAATGATACGTTAGCAACTATATATTTCATATATCATTGTGTAAATGACTGACACGATAATATGAATTAAATAAATACTTTATAATTTATAAAACCTTGTTTCATTAATAAAATTTAATTATACGTAAAAGGTTTGCGTTATGATATATTTGAATATCATGTTACAATGATTTGCAAGCAATTGTAAAACATAGTACAAGCAACTTAATTTTATAGATTTAATTGCTCTAGTCCAGCGTTTTCTTATAAGCTTGTCCGGTCCCGTGCTAATGACTGCGGGTCAAGAATTCTATCTAGTCACTGGATCACAGTTTGGGAATTACTGTTCTAGCGTTATCTGCGAGGCATAATTTGTATAATTCCTCATTTTACAAATTTATTTTTGTAGTATGTTATAAAATCTTATAAAATAAGTTTATAATATAAATATTATCGATAAACATTATGTTATAAAATATAAATTACAATAGGGATAATCTATTTAGTCCGCCAGTCAGATAAAAAAAAAATTAAATATACTTTTTTGCTTCAATTTAACAAAAAATGGACTAACTAAAAAAATAGGCAATAAAGTTGAGGATTGGGGGTTAGCTACGTCAAAATATGTAGAAAATGTACAAAGGCTGTAATTTTATGAAATACGCAAAAAAATCGGTTGAATATTCTTTAGTAAATCTTCAATATACAATCTTCGAAAAACAGACGGACAATTTAAAAAGTCATCATTCTTCTACGAACGCCGTTTTATAACTGTTAATATCTGTTTTGGTTCTGTATTGTTTTGTCTATATGATGATATATATGATCTGCCCCGTCTGATTGATTTCATTATGTACAGTTTCATTTTCACTGATCAATCAGGACTTCAGTTACAAGGTATAACAGCTGATGTCAAAAAGTTTTTTTTAATGTGATATTTAAAAATAAGTTAACGGCGAAATGTAATACTGCCCGACAAAACGACAATATTTTGTGTGTGTTAAAAATTACATGTTTTGGATTGGATTTAAAGAGAGTAAGCTTGCAGGATAACATTTCGTCCATCTACGTAAACGAGTTAGTAAAGCCTTTCGCCGTCGTAAGGTGCGCCATCTAGCTCCGGTTGCCTGGTGCCCTCAGGCGGTAAGCCCCACCGAGGGCGGCAACCGTTGTGCGCATGGTAGCGCGGGATTCGGTCGTCGCGCACCATCTCGTACGCCAGCCGAGCTATACCGCCCTGGTAGTCGCTGATGCCCGTACGGTACAATGACGGACGGACGTACCCGGCAACTGAAAGATACGTAGTTATAGATATAGCACTCATAAAGAAAAATGAAATAAAGTTATATAACGAAAACAGGAGATAATAATATAAAAGGAAAGAAAGCTCTTATCAGATGGTTAAGATGCTATAATATTTCATCTTAAGATATCTTAAAACGTCATTGAAATATGTTTTCAACATCTTAAGCTTTCATATTACATCCATATGAAAAAAAGGAAGAAAAAAAAACGAAAGCCCTAAAAAGCACCTCCACTAGATGGCGACTCTAGCAAAAGTTTGATTTTATAGGAAACAAATGGACCAAAGACAGACATTTCCGTTCTTTTTACCTAACATATAAAAAAACTGAAATTTGAAAAGTTTGAAACTTAGGTATCAGTACAAATACATAAAAGTACAAATAGAATATGAGTTGTTTATTGAGTTTTGAAAAGTAATTTACTTTTAAGCATGAAAGAAAACCGGAATGGTTGTCATGGATAAATCAAAAAAGTACCGTAGCGACATATAGTTTGATTTCGGGAACTACTGTTTTTTTTAAATACTCTCTTATTCGGACACATTATTGAATTCGAATTCGGGTCTGGATTTTTACAGAATTGCAGGGCTGATCACGATCCAGATTGATCGTCTAATGGCCGGCTTAAGGATTAAATAGTTTCACTAAGACGCTCATTTATTATTTTACACATCAGCATTAATTTTTATGAGGATCTCGTTGGCGCAGTGGTTAGTGCTTTCAGACCGAAGGAAAGCGAAGCGGAAGTTAAGCAACTTTCACACGGGCCGGTCATAAGATGGGTTACCATAGATTTATTATCTCCAGCTCTTCTATGCTAATGTACTCGTGTGTGCGGAAGATATGTAAAGCCATTGGTCTCTGCTGCATCTATCGTCAACACCCGCGTGGTATCTTGGCCCGTTCTCCTTGTTCGATTCAATTCCATTGAAGGTCTGTGTCTAAAAAATGGAGACATAACAAGCTGATGATGATAACGATTGGTATTTCCCTCCAACACCAAACAAACGTTTATAGACAGGTATTTACATAGATATAGATACATATTATAATATAGTACCTATAATATCTGCGGTACTTATGGTAGCTATCAAGCGAGGAAAATGATAAGTCCGAACTATCTATCTAATTTCAGAATTATGTTACACACAAGCGGATGTATCGCCATTCCTACAATAATGTCGCCATCTAGCGCAGAAACAACGTATCAAAAAATAATTGGACAAATTGTTTGAGTTAGGAAAACGACATACATCTATATATGTATGTAGGTGTGTATTTGTGCGTATTTTATCAACTTGATTAGTGCGTATTTTATTGACTGTTTGAACTATAGATGAACAAATCAGTAACGTAATAAACTTGAACGCGTCCTCGAGTAAAGAGGATTGTAAGATCTGGGAACCTAAAAAGATTATTTTTACAAAACATTCCAAAATCTCTGCAATACATTGATTTTAAATATCCACGTGATGAAATCGAAGATAATTTCTAATATCAAATACGCATATTGCATAAAAGCGAATAAAAAGATATTTATTTAACGTTATTTGCTAATCTGAATTCAAATTTACTAACTTCAGAGACTGCTTGCAGCACGTGTTATTTGTTGCGTCAATCATAATTTAATTAAATATTATGATTATGCAAACGTGTGGTTATTTAGACTCTCGACGTTTTGTGTAAATTCGACTACTCACCCGTGTAATGTTGACGTCAAGCCCGGGGAAGCAGTGCAAGAAAACAATTAAGTAGAAACATAAGTATATCACTGTAGTTTTAGTATAAAATAACAGTTTCAACACTAAACGATAATCATTGTGCTCGATTCCTATAAAGGTGTCTGCTCTCACAGCTTGTTAAACCTTTTTATATGAAAGATTTTAGTTTTTCTTTTTTTTTCACCAATCAGTTTGCGTTACACTCACTCACATTATTGCTTATCTTAATTGTCAAAGAAGTAAGAAAAAAGGAAATATAAGTTATCCTATGGCTAGAGACTTAGGCGGTCGCGGAAAATTCTTTTACAACGAAAAGCTACATCATAGGTGGATCGCACACGGGAAAAGTCGCTGGAAAACAGTACTTTATAAAACGATATACATATTTTTATGTAGTGAAACTAGGTCCGAAATTGATATCATGATATTTTATTAAAGTATGTACTTAGATAGATATTTTACAAATATAATTGTAGCGGATTTTGATTGTAGTCAGCTCCTATTGAAAGCTTTTTGTGTGCAAAGTAAAATACCACAATTCACGGTCCTCAACGGCACGCATTGACATTACACTTAAGAGCAAATAAATTAATGAACTTACTAGTCGAGGAGAGTTTATGAACGTACTCATTATAATTTGCCGACATTATGGCATCGAATTTGTAAAGTTAAAAGTAGACAGCGTTGTTGCAGTCATTTAGTTAATTTTTATGATAAAATGTTTAACTTTGTGTTTATGTTATTACGGTCAGATAAATTGAAAAATTGAAAAACATCTTCCCGGTCGTCATTCCCCATCATCAGAGCAGATCTTTTTCTTAATAAAATATTTATTTTTTAATTGTTTAACGGTCCAAAATAAAAATTACGGGGTTAAAAACTTTGAATTTGTTTGGCTTTTATTAACCACCGCACTAACGATTCCCAGCGGGATTTGTCATTTGTATTGTTGTGGTATAGGCGGCCTTTAAATCTCCTATTGAATCAAGTTTTAATGCTTTTTCGATGGTCTAAGACTTATTTAATGAATCAGCACCGAACAAAGTGGCAAAAGACTAACTCCTTAAGTGCGTCGGCAAAGGCTCCAAAGTAGGTCTATCCATATCTGGCTCATAAAGTTCCTTTGCTATCTTCATAAGCTCCGTATCCTTGATCGCCAGCTTCTGTTGTTGCTGTGGCTGTGGTGCTTCCTCTTCTTTTCCTTCGGGACCTTTGTCCACACACGGTCTCTTCTTCTTGACACGAGGTACAAAGGGACGCGTTTTGAATTCTGCATCGGATTACATAGACACAAGACAAGATTACCATTTTGGTTGGATGTAATTAGTAGAATATTTGGAAGCTCTACAATCCCGATGATTCGGTTACGATTACCCGGGTCTTAACTCCTGTTGGGGATACTTTGTAGGGTCCAGTGGGGTTATAAGTCTCCTCGTTCGAATCCATGGAGTGATTTCCACATTACCTCGTAACTTGTGAGGTGATGGGGTGTGCGCATTGCCCTTACAATATAAATAAAAATAAAAAGTTTTATAAGTCTAAATGAATTTAGTCCTACTTGACTAACTTAGTAAAGATTTGAGGACATTATGGTCGAATTCTATATAATCTCCATTTAAATAATGGATCAAATTCTTAGTAGAGAATCTACAAATTCTTGTAAAATTCTTGTAAACAGAAGAGAAAATTTCTCAATATGCAAAGCGAGGACTATATTAAACCCTAGCCGCGTGGTCTCACGTTCGGGTAGGTAGAAAATTTGATACAGTTCCACAATGGGTCACGGCGTAACTAATTAATCAAATATATGCACGCGGGGCGGGATAAATATAATTCTGGCTTCAAATTATGGTGTCTAATTGCTAAACTCCTGCAGTCGTATTTTCTGCAACTGCACTGGATTGGTGAAAAACCCTTGCAGTAGATATATTACGACGTCCACCCCTTTCTTTTGCAGTGCGTTGGACTCCTGGTGACAGCTAACACACCTGGCGACAGGTAGGAGCAGTAGTCGTTGTAGTAAGTGGACTGTCCACGTAGTCTTCGCATGGTCTCTTTGATGAACTTGTCTATCTCTTCGTCCGACCAGGCTTTCTGGCAATATTGGTCATTTTAATTTTTAATCAATTTTGCATTCATAATGCTATACTGGTAAATATACTTAATGAAAAATGTTTAAAGAATGTACCAGTCCCAGGTCGATGGGAAACGTCGTGTGTTCGCATCCCATCTCTGGGTACCTGGGACTTTTTAAGCATTTTTCATTAAGAATATTGGTATTTTTTTAAACAAAGCAATCATACTATTAATGTTCCATTGCTGGGGCTTTTCTGTGTACAGAATCACAAAAAAAAATGTGCCAAAAGTTATCACTCAGCGTTAACGATTACAAAAGCTGATGCAGGTACCATCGGCTAAGCGTGCTTTCCGTAGCACGGAGAATTTGTCTTCGTAGTATATTTCTAGTCTAAGAGATCGTGAAAATGTAATGCAAGAGCGTTCCAAAGCTTGATATTTTAATATGTTGACATTTTAGTACAAAGGGTGTTCATCAATTAGTACCCTGTGCGGAAGTCAGCTGCTGGAGCCTGGTGGAAGCGGTGCGAAAGAAACTCCTAGCGATTTTGGAATGTGTTTATTTAATTAAAGCTAAAGCTTTTGAAAGCTCTTGCATAAGTTGCTAGCTCTACGTCTATTCCTATAACCTTTAATTGGGATCATTTTTGCAATCCATTGATAAATATTAAATAACATTTATAATTATATAATTTACTACAAACTAAGGCTGTTAGCTATATGGCTATGCCGATAAATATGTTTTTATTAGTGTCAAGACTCGATGGCACAGTCGTAGCGCGTTCTGTTTGCGATACGGAACTTGAGCAACTTTATCAAGGGCCGAACTTAGGATGGGCGACACGAAAAATTATAATCTCGAGTTCCTCCGTGCTTCAGAAGGCAGCTCCAGTAGTTGACACCCAACAATCAGCAGTGGGTACGCGTGGTGGGTCATCGAGCATTTTACAGAACTGGAGATATTAATAGTTTGGAGCATAATAATACTCTTTGGTCTGGAGATAATAATGTCAGTATTTGTACTCATACAATGTACATTCGATTTAGCATGTGTTTCTAGGATTCTTCGTTTACCCTGTTGTAACTTACACATTTTTAAATATTACAGAATAGGAGAGTACTATGCTCTTTTCGATAAATCGAAAAAATATTTTTTGAGCACGTCTGTTAGTATTCAAGTGACCCGGCTGATACCCGCAGCGGGTTTTACTCGTAAGCCTGTCCTTTTCAGGACGGGTGCGGAGACGAAGAGCCCTGGTTTAAGGGTTAAGGTTTCATTTCCCCTTCGTCAAAAAAAGTACTGATTCAGATAAGTTTGGGGCCGGTTTTTTTGGTTTAGTATTTTAATACCTTTCTTTTAATTTACGTAAATTTGCAGTTAGTATCCAGTTTAGAAACTTACATCCTGTGTTCCCTTTTTAGGGTCCAGCCAGATACCCTCAAGTTTGGCCCATCTATTTTCTGGACGACACCTGTGGAAGACGTAATCTCATTTATTTGCGAGCATGCCAACAGTATAGTTTTTGCTCGCAAAAACTAAGCTGTTTAAAGCTGAATTGACATATAAGCGGCTTTTTTTCAAACTAAACGGTTCCCTTCAATCATGCGGGCTAAGCCGCTTACGAAAATCTAATCTGACATATGTACGTAATATTAGAAGACCTAAATTCATGTGACCTTTGCGACTATATTATCGAGATGCCACTGTTAAAAACAGTAAAAAAAACGTGACTTTTAATGGCGATGACTTTTTATTAAAAGAAACCACAGGAATTCCGCTTATTTCCTGTATAGAAGGAGACACGATGCATAGAATCAGATTCTTCTGTTAAACGTATTACGTACTAAAGTCTTTTTTTTTGAGAGTGAGATACTTGAAAATATTTATATTCAGATTTTTCTAACAATGTGCGTTTGAGTAGTCGACGTATTGCTCGTAACATGTTCAAGCACCGAAGATGTGACTCTTTCCAGCAGAATATCTTATCAGATTTTATCTCTCTAAACTCTCTCTCCAGGGAAGTAGCCTATATCGGCCTCCCGCATAGATCTTCACGACAGTTAGTCCTGCATTGCCCGTATCCAGCGGCTTCCCGCGGCTTTTATCACATCGTCGGTAAAGCTGCATGGGGCCTATCCACTGAGCGTTAATTAAAAGTAAAATCCTTCCACAACAAAATCACAGTTTTGTGTACGAGCCCTTAGAAATACCAAAATTAAAATTATACTAACATGTTAGTTTTTCTAATAGGGTGTGGTCGATACTCATCGAAATATTCCGTTAGAAATGACATTGCTGCTAGATATTTAATAACACTGAATTCACAAAAAATAACACTTTGATTTCAAACTTTCTGGCAAATTGACAATGTTACGGAAGATATGTGTCATCGCCGTCATCACGATGTGTCATTGATCACGCTAGGGAAGAGCCAATTATTAAAATGAGTAAACTAAATAATTTTATATTCTTCAATAAAATAAATATACGTTTTTAAAATTTTTAAACTTGGCCGATATGATAATAAAAAATATACAATTTTTCTTGTTTCTAGTATCCGATTACATATACGACTGAGTTTCTTTGCATTACTTTTTCCAATGACAGTTTGTGTTATCGCAGTTTTGCATGTTATGCGCGTTTTCGAGGGGTTGTCAACACTTTGCCTTGAATTTGTTTTATAAATTATTATTTTTAAGAATATTCCTGATACTCAGTTTGTTTTCAGTTTATATTACAGTTTATTTCCAATGATTATATGGTATATGAGAATAAATGAAAAAAAAAATACTATTTCACAAGTGTACCTACTATTTAACAAGTAATTCATCAACATAGTTAAAGGTTTTTTTACCAACTTGAAAAAGTAAAGTGGCAAAACATAATAGTTTTATTGTTATTCTAATAGTTTTACTCATATAAAATATTTTTCTTGCTTCTAGCTGTCAATTTTGGAACTTTGGGTGCAACCCTTAAATCTCTAGCCATAAGATACGGAATCTTAGAGATTTTATATTTTATTTTACTACTTCGACATGTCCTCTAGGTGGAAAAACAACCAAGTTCGTAGCAGATGCTGTCAAATCTATAATCATCATTCTTATTCATAAGTTCGTCATTATATTTGATCAATTTCGCATTCACAATGGTAGGTATACTGAAAAATTTTCTGAATTAAAAATGCTTAAAACATCCACTTGGTGCTAGCACCCTGAGATAGGAATGGAACCCTTTTCGCAATCCGACGAATCATATCTCAGGCTGCCAAGCATCAAGTGAATTTTTTGCTCGTTTTTCATTAAAAATAAGTTCGTTATTATTAAAGTACATGTAAAATTTGTAAAATGAAACGCTGTATCGTCATACCATCGCTAATATATCGTTTTTTATGGTTAGAGTCACGGGTAGAAAGTTGAGTGATTGAACCCAGAACCTGCTCTGCTGAGTACAAGGGTAATGAAAATGACTGAGATTTCCTCTTTGTTGTTTTTACATCTTATGTTATTTCATGAAATAATTTTAAGATTTCATTGACCATTATGAAAGTTATAATTTTGATAAAAATATAGAAATGTAGAATCAATACTTTGGTTATAAGCTTGGGTAGTTTATACAGAAAGTTAAATTACCGATATATTTTACGATTTGAATTCGCCATTAAAGAAAACCTAGTAATAAGTCAGGTATCTTTAACAATTACAACAGTTGAGCATTCCTGCCCGGTTTTACCGCGACCGAGACCTTTATGAAGTTTATAAATATTTTTTATTTCTGTCAGTAAACAGTTGCACGCAACCTTTGCACGTGAGAAAAATGTATCTTTTTTGTTGGGAGAAAAAAACTCACAATATTTATGTGTTCCAATTAATATGGCGTGTGGTTAGTGTCTGTGCAGAGCCTGTACCGACCGCCTAGACTAGCTTCAGGATAAGACATCTTAGTGTTGTAATTGCGAGTTCGAGGCATTGTTTGAGCTCCGTGCCCAAACGGTAAAAACAGACCCCCAATTACTAAGATTCTATCCGTATGTCACAGGCTGTAATCTCACGAACCGTAATAGTAAGGCAGTGGTAATGTTCACAGATGATGATAGATTCACAGATGATAATTATGTTGCTATAATAATAAATAATAGACAGAATAAAATTAATATTTAATGGGGATTGTTTTTGCTCATTTCCAATACGGAACTCGCACTTGTTCGTATTTTACCCGACTGCGCAACGCAAAGTCTATGTATGTATGTTTCAAAAATATTAGAAGTGTGCGAAGACCGTTTTAGATATAGTGAGCTGTTCACAAATTATTAAGCCCTTAAGTGCCAAGACTTACTTTGGACCGAGCTGTTGACTTAAATTCGCAAATTTTGCTAAACGTCAAGCATATGTAGCTTTGAGCCGAGTGAGGTCTCTAGAGGGACTAATAATCAGTAGTTAAGCCCATCGCAAGTTGCTTAATAATCCTCACGATATAAACTTCCTCAATGAAATGACAAGGTTGCGAAATTTACCGTCTCATAGTTCTAATAACGAAAAATAAAAAAAAATATTATAAAAACAAAAACTGCGTGAAAACAAAAGAAAGAAGTGAAAAAATATATAATTACTAACTTTCACTTAAAACTAAAAAGAAAAAAATAAGACCAATAGTTTGGAATGTTATAAAGTAGTACTGAATAACTGAATAAACATTGTGCATAGATTTTAAAACTATTTCAATGGAGCTGTTATTTAGTAGTACTGAATAACATTCCAAACTACTGGGCTCGTTTTATTCATTTTAGTTTTTAGTGAAAGTAATTGTATATTTTTTTCACATCTTTTGTTTTTTACACAATAGAATAGTTGTTAACTGTACTTATGTTGATATTAGATATTAGCATCTCTGTTTTACTCTCTCCATTTGTCCTTGTGGAAATTGATCATCATCATAAAATTCTGAAGTGTTTCTGTTACGGCTTCAGAATTTAAAC